TCTTTATGCGGGACAGCCGCTAAAGAATAAGAATAAGAAGAAGATGAATGGCGTATTCATCCTAGCTCGTGATTCGTGCTGGGCTACTTGAGCTCGTTGTTATCGGATTAGAATAATAATATAGTAATACTAGCCGCCTCGCTGTCATTGGGCTCTCCTACCCATCCTGCCGCCTGTACTCTTATCAGATTTGAGCGCTCTGTGGCCAACGTAACCGGAGTTATAAATTTCTGGTGGGCGCACATACCCCTACACATACCAACACACACACTCACACATACGTACACACATACACACAAACGCACAGGAAAAAACAGAGACAGCTCTTTATGTACAGTTGGATGATACATCATATATACCTCCGCTTTCCTAGCCTTCTCAGCAAGTTTTTGCTTTTTCTCCTCCTCCAGACGTAAACGCTTTTCTTCTAAGGCTTTTTCTTTCGCATCTCTCGCCTCTGCCTTCTTCTTCTCAATCTGAATTTGAGTGAAATCAACAAAACTTCAAACTGCAGCATTAAAAAACGGACCAATTTCAACTTTTCCTCTTCCTTAGCTCGCCTTTTCGCCTCCTTTTCTTCTTCCAACTTTTTCTAAAATATCAAATACTGACATGGAAGAGAGGAATATGTAACCGTTCATTTGCAAAAAGATGGACAAACTTTTTTCTCTTCTTCTTTCCTCTTTTCTTCTTCCTGTTTTCTTTTTGCTTCCACCTGGTTATGCGTCATTACTTGCTGAAATGGATTCCTCAAAATTTTCATGAACTTACTTTACTCGTCAAACATAACACAGAAGAAAACTCGTACCATTATCAACGCTTGCTGCAACATCAGTAACTTCTGGGGATCTGTTGTTAAAGAACTGATCTGCTGCATAGCGGATGTCAACTGAAATGTCTACCGTCGATAACTGTTTTGCATACTCAAAATATTATGGAAGAAAGACGCAAAAAATATTATCCTCGCTTCGAAGGATTATTCAAGAGCCATTAGTTATGACGACATGGAGAATATTCCAAATACCCAAAAGATGAGAGCGCTAAATTTTCAGAATCCGAATTGTTAGCCGAAGTTGCGCGGGAGAATGGAGCCACAAACTGCTCGGAACGTAATTTTCTAGTTTTAAATCCAATTAATTAGTGACGAGATAATCTTTTACAGAATTAAATTACGCGCATTTATTCCAACAGCACAGTGAATGATGTGCAGTTTGATTTATACCAAAAAGGGGTCAGATAACTTTCACTACGTAAACAGCAACAGAACTACATGAGCTTTTTTATGGCCAGGACTCCTTTGAGACACTAATCCTAAATTATGAGCAATAAATTAGTCTCAAAAGAAGCTTAGAAAGAAGAAAAGGTTATAGACTGTGAAGAGGCCCGACAAGAGAGTTATGTTCTCTATTTCCATTTCCATGCTACCATTTTATGTGATCTTATATACTTCGAGTAACTTCAACTCGAACTCAAATTCGCTTGGGTGTCTATACGTTGGCTTTATATCCCAAACGGCACAAAAATAGTAAAAAACAAAAAGTTCTATAAGGAAATACCTCAGCCATTTGTGTAGGTGTCATGTTCATGCCCATACCATTCAAAGCTGCTATTGCATGCTTCGAAGCTGCCGCTGCTGATGACGTCGCTGCTGCTGCAAATAGAAATTTATCAAAATGATTCGAGTAAAATTCAGAAGTAAGAATACTTTGAAGTGAAAAAAATAAGAAGTTGAAGTGCTCGAATTCGGCCACAATTACACATATGCGCAACTAGGGCTCAAACAGTTCTTTCTTACGCTCTGGCAATGGCTGTTTCATTTCTTTTTTTCCAAACAAAAGGAACGGTTATCCATCAAATTACAGCGTTATATCGAGGTTAGCCTCACTGCTAGAAAATATCCACGTCTTCAATCAGAAACTCTTAAGGAGTCAACAGACGAAGTCAAGTTTCACCATGTTGTCCAAGAAATGGTGTAAAAGAAGTCGAATGGGACAGCGTACCCCAGCATCAAGCAAATCAAAGCATTTAAAGGAGACCTCTCAAGGGTATCGGGAAATAGTGATAATTAATACGGCGGGGCCAAAATCTAGTAAAACGACACAAGCAATTGACTACAAACAGGAAACTTTTGCTTGAATACATACTGAGCTTATAGAATCCGCTAACGAAAAAAAGCATTACCAGCTGCTGCGTCGCTGTTTGAGGTGGTAGCATTCGATGTGCTCGGCTCAACCACACTAACATCTCCATCTTCTTGTACGGTAGCGGTCTGAAAAAAATTATTTTTAAATCTATAATTGAGTTACAGATAACAAGTAAATTTACACCGCTCATTCACCCAGCACCCATTACAAGCAGATAAAAACACATAACGGCAGCTGACGAATATTCCGAAATATCAAGCACAGTGAGTCTACGTTAATAACTCAGAAGTAGGGACCTCACCTACAACGGCTTGCACAGTTAATGGCGAACAAATGAGAAAAACATGCTTTATTCGTCATAGATGATAATCACAGTATAGCTTAATCGAACAAAACAACGTTAATTGACAGTGCTAATTGTAGCATGCAACCATCACCGAACACCTGAAGCGAGGTAAAGGAAAAAAGAGGAACCAAGAATTGTATGCTGAGATGAGACCGTATATTCAACGGAGAATTATAATTGTACATGGGGTTACAAATACCACAGGATGGGTGTGGCGTCTACAGAAGAGTACAGGTTACGAACGAAATGATTTTGAACCCCCGGGGTTTCCACGGCTAGACCTATTCGAGGAACTAACTTTTGACATGGACATGTAGCTGACTAAAGACTCCCTATGCGCTGCAAAGGGGGCAAGAAATCAATAAATTGAACTCGGGAATGCTGACTTAGAACTCCTTCGAAAGGTGCAATGCAAGAATCAGTCACTTCTGTAGATTCCTTTGAGTGAATGGATTCACAGACGAAATGCATCGTGGCGATGATGTGGCACTTTTGATTGCAATTACCTGTATTTCGTCGGACGGCGACGATCTAACAGGCAAAATCGGTTTATATGGTCGGGATGAATTTACCTTGGATGCCACCTAAAAATTCTATGCCGCCAATCAAGCTGAAAAACCAAAGTAATGAGAATGGCGACAATCTTACCGCGTCACTGCTGGTCTTCTCCTTCTTGGTGATAATGGTGATGCTAAAATGAAAGAGATTAACCTTTCAAAGTAAAATTGTGTTTTAGAATAGAAATCAGAAGCATACAGGAGAGTGAAAAAGGGCCCAGTATTGAGGAGGGAAAAAGAAATTAGAATTCGAGTGAAAGAATGCGCCAGGCAAAGTTAACAGTCAGTCGCACTACCATTTCCTCCTTTCTGGGAGTTAATTAATTTAAAGTTACACGAACAACTTTTCAGCAATTAGCTTTGAAGGGCAGGCTTTCCGAGTTAGTTTGATTCTTGCCTATTCTCAAATACTTGAAGGACTACTATGTCGATTATTTCCAATCTCTTATCGCGCAAACCCATCTATTTGATAGACTGACTATTCCATCTACTATTTATCGCTACAAACATCCACAATACAAAGTTTTCTGAGAGAGATTATCATTCAGAATTCACTAGCAAAAATATTATTTGGAGTAGGGAGGTTGGAAAATCGCCGAGCTATCAACTTGAAAAATAATCTAGAATCTATCAATCATCATATCTAATTATCTAGCATCATAGAAATCGTGCAGAAAAGTATGAAAACGATCAGTAATAATTATAAGCAAGCCTTCCCACTACTTAGACCATTTGAATGCATTCCCCATTACAAATTTTGAAACCATACTTGTTCAAATCGACTCCATCGTCCTTCAATAGCTTCTGAACATTTGGGCAGGCTAATATGAACGCTTTGTCAGGACTACGTCGGGTGTATTCGACAAGCAGACGACTGAACAACATCATTAAATTTCATTTATTGTAAGAGAAATCTGACGGTTACCTCAATTTGATTTCTCCCTTGAAATAAGGAAGAACTTCTTTGCTGAATATTGTGACAATACCCTCAGAAGCCTTGGCATACGTATCAGAACTCAGCAGTACAGACCAGTAAAGTTCCATTTGACTTCGTAAAGCTCGCCTGAACAATTACAATCGAGGAGGAAGCGATTGCGAACGTCAAATTGCCAGAACATTTAGAACAAAATCTACGATGCGCAAGCCAGAAAAAGTTTGAACAGAGAAAAATGCACATGCGCTACGGACACTTAGATATTATGAGGGTTCAAGAAACCGTTTACTTTCAAAACTTTCCGAATAAAAACAACTCACGCCAAATTCTCGGTCCACAAGAAATCGAATCGTGGGGGAGGTTTCCCAGCAGCTGCAGCACTGTAGTAAAGCACGTTCAAACAAGGAATTACAAGAAGGAATCAAACAAAAAGGAATCCAATGCTTACACTTCACATTTCTTTTTGTGAGTCACTTTGCTGTTTTCAATAGCGGTCGTCACAGCTGAAAATGTTTTTGATGGGAAACATTACTCAAAAAGACGTGAATAATCAAAAAATTTAGTGAGTGAGTATGGGCGCGTACATAAATTCCTATGCCTCAGAATAAATTTGCAAATAAACGGCATTAATAAAACTGAAGTGAAGTGGAAGAAACTAGGTGTTAACATGTTTAGATCCATGTTAAACAAGTCAGGTAAGGTCGACGTGGGCAAATTTGTGCATATTGCTATACATGGGATGTTCGCAGCGAACGTGACAAGGGCAAGGCTTACATGTTCAGACATGGCATTATGCTCAAAGCTCAAGGGCCTCAAAAAGGGATAGTCTCTTCATCCGCCCAAAAAGACTCAGCCATGAGAAATTGCGAATGATTGCCTATAAATGGTGCACTCTTAAAGAAAAGTTGTCTTTGAAATTTCACAGCCATAGAGGATCAAAGACCGTGAAAAGTGATCGAAGTAAGTAATTGGCGAAGTCTACATGAATAAGAACTTTTTCGACATCTTGCGGTATCTCCAAAAGTCGGCAAGATAAGGACGCATTCAAGGAAATAAACAATAATGCAAAGCTCATAGACAGCAAAAAAAAGACTGCTCAAACGCTCTGTTTGTCCTCTTTCTACGTTTAGAACTAACGAAAGACTCCCTCACAAAAGAGGAAGTTCAAGAAGACTCGCCACTACTCAACTCCTTACCATGAGGTGTGGTGCAGTAGGAACGAAATTGTCGCGTTGCGGCAAGAGGGACGCCGCGCTCGAAGGAATATAGCAGAATGCAGCATTAGGTAAGAAAAACAGGAATAAAGAACGAATAGTGCCTGTGTAGAATCGAATGAGAGTGTAGAATCATGCCTAAAATAAGGTTCGCCTATCGATTAAGCTGTATGAAGAACGCTAGAGCTGTAATAACGGCGAAGGAATGGTCCGCGACAGTCGCATACGAAGAATCGATTACGGAAAACCGTTCCTACTGCCCGTCTCCCCCTTACCATGTGATTTGGAGCTATTTCTTCGAGAGCCCAGATGCCACCTTCCTTCGAAGTCGGATACCGAGCGTGATCAATATATGGTAATTGAGTTGGACGCTAGCGTCTGAATCGCCATATCAAAGAGGTGAATTGGAAGAGTGTAATTATGGGACAAGTCGGAGACACGATTCGATGTGAAGGAGGAAGACTTAAATGATGAAGAAAGAACGGCAAAAATGACGAAGTTAGGCGATTTTCCTGGCATGTGTTATCTGCAAAGCTCTTACTTTCGTGGTAAAGACATAATGCATATCAACCCCACAAAATAATGATGCTTCTTCTAGACTGGACTTCCAATAACAACACAAGCACTACTTAACTTTCAGATAGCATCGTCGGAAAAGCGATGAAAGAGGAAGACAGGAAACACGTAAAGCAAGGAATGTGAATAACGCAGAAAGAGAAGCTAGGACCAGTATTCCTTCAGCATAAAAGGAAC